GTACGCTCCAACTCACTTGCATCTCCATCTTCGAATAGAAAAAGATTATAATAAAAAAAAAAATTATTATGCTAGCGGATGAAGGCATATGGGTAATCAATATGTTCTTTTTTAGAGTTCCCTGCTAGTCATTTCCAGGGAGTACCAAATGATAGCTGCCTTGGCCTCCATAGGCTAGAAACGGCAGAATCACAAAATCACTTGTGTTCTTTTGAAGCCTCTATCACACTTAAGTGTGACATATTTTCTTTCACATTTGTTTTAATCAATTCTAAACATTTTGATGCCTCTGCTTTTTAGTATGCTGTCTAGATTTGCTATAGCTTTCCTCCCCAGGAGCAAGCATCTTTTAATTTATTGGCTGCAGTCCCCATCTGTGGTGATCTTGGAGCCCAGGAAAATAAAACCTGTCACTACCTCCATTTCTTCCCCATCTATTTGCCAGGAATTGAGAGGGCCGGATGCCATGATGTAAATGTGCTCATATTCAAATTAAACTCAGATGCACTATATACCAGTGTTTTTCATACTTGGCTACTTTAAAATGTATGGATGTCAACTCTCAGAGTTTCCCTGGCTAGGGAAATCCACACACCTTTTGAAAAACTGCTGTATTTTTTAAAAATAACAATTTTTGCAACATATGATATAGTGAGTATTTAATTACTGTTCCAAGTGATCATATACTCACCATATTATATGTAGCAATAAGTTTTTTATATATATAGTCTCTTGCTGCAGATTCCATAGAGTCTCATGTTAGATGAGTGGAATGAGAATTTTGTCTCCTATACTGACAAAGATACTCTTTTCCTTACTCTCAAACCCTGCAAGTAGCCCCCCTCCCTCTGGTCTTTCTATTCCATACTTATTTAACATTGTCATTGAAAAATCTAAAAGTTGTGCCTCTCCTTCTTGTGAAACTAAATTAATTCAATCATTGAAACCAAACTTCTACATCTGTCATAGCTGAGAAGTCTCCCAGCTCTTTTGTTAACAGTTTTTCCATTATAGCAGGTGATGGCATTCTTGGCACTTTTGCCTTTTTGGCATAATGTATCGGCACAGATACCATCATACTTTATTGTTAAAGATTATAATGTGCTTAAATTATAATTTGTAAAAGATTTAGGTTTTCAGGGCCTGCTGGAAGAGTACCCCTATTTCAGCTATTTACTGTTTCCATAGGGAATTCTGCTGTTTTCTAAGGCAGATGACTAATAATCATCTTTCATTATAGGAAATCAACCATATGATATGGCATTGAGTGTGAAGGTGTTTCAATAAGAGATCTCTGGATCCCTGGTTCCTTCAGGGAATTAAATTCATTTTTTTTCCTGCTCTATTTTGGAATTACTCTATTACATAAGATGGCTAAATTTGAAACAATAACCTTCTGCCTTTACTCTTTATAGCTAGAAGTGCCTTTTGTTTGTGTTCGTGTTGACATGTGACTGCAGGATGATAATTTATATTCTGCCATATGGCTAGGATTCATGTGAACTGACTGCAAATATGCTCCATTGGATATAGCAACTGTAGCATAATAACATGCTTTCGTTTCTTCTTTATCCTGACTAGATTGGAAGTTAAAGATCGGATTTTGCAGAGTGGCTTGTTCATATATGTCAAGTATAAAAAGTGTGACTGAATATCTTTATGTTCATACAATATGTAAAAACTAAGCTGATGTCTTTAGTTTTTTTGTCTGTCAATCATTTCTTGATCATTTGCCGTTCCATTTCATGTTCTTGAATAGCTGAGTCAAATTTTGGAATTGACAGTATAAACTCTGGCTATATGGTGATTCGTTACTATCTACAGCAGGGGTGTCTTTGGCAACTTTAAGACTTGTGGACTTCAATTTCCAGAATTCAAAGAGTTGATATTCACAGTTCCCAAGGCTGGACACCCCTGATCTCTAGAATGTGAGACAGCCTTGTCCCGCTTTACATATGAACAGAACACCCATTCCTGGTACATAGACACACTTTTCAGTTGTTTATCCATTCTGGTTTATAATAAATTGTTTATCTTAAAAATGGTTATTACTTTTGAACTCTCTTTTTGGTGGACAACTAACTCTAGGCTTTACTTCTTTTTTAAGTAACATGTTGACTTTTTGTTAATGATTAAATCAACACTTGAAATACAAAGCGAATTAACTCCAATTGGACAAAAACTAGCATTTAACTTAATAGCCTATTAAGTTAGAACTGAAGAACAGCTAAGAAAGTGCTGTGTTAATCTTTAGAACAATTTGTTTTAAACAATTATCACGTTTCTTAACACCTCCTAGAATATAGTATTGGGATTGAAGAGCAAGATTTGGTATGTGTTTACTGCAACCTGCAAAATGTAATATAAAATCCATATTGTGATCTACAGACAACCTGCCTTTCATTTATGAAAACTGATCCTTTGAAATCTTGTTTTCTAGAACAGGGATCCCCAATCCCTGGTTCATGGACCAGCACAAGACCGCAACATGCCAGAAACTGGGCTGTGCAAACAAGCAAAGCCCCATCCGGGGGATGCAGGCAGCACATGAAACCATGCACACCCCGTTCCGCGGAAAAACGTATCTCCACCAAACTGGTCCCCAGTGTCCCAAAGGTTGTGGGCTACTCTTCTAGACTATGTACAGTAGCTTAGCTTGGGAATAGCACAGTGTGTGTGTTTTTCCCCACTGTGATAAGATTAGGAGTTTCTTTGGATTAGGTCCTAAATTCCTTTCATCTCGGTGATTCTGAATTCAGTATCTGCCTTTGTAAGAGCTGAATAGAATAGAATAGAATTCGTTATTGGCCAAGTGTGATTGGACACACAAAGAATTTGTCTTTGGTGCATATGCTTTCAGTGTACATAAAAAGACAAGATATATTTGTCCGTGGCATGACAAAACCGCGGTCCACTAAAGCGCGCCCGATTAAAGCGCGTACCTGACGGCATCAGCAGCGCGACAAATACGACCGCGGAGAAAAAAGGGCGCTTTAAAAAGCGCTTTTAAAGCAAGCCGATTCACGTAAAGGTAAGGGTTAGGTTTAGTGTTAGGGTTAGGTTAAGGGTTAGGTTTAGGGCTACGTTAAGCGTTAGGGTTAGGTTTAGGGTTAGGTTAAGGGTTAGCGTTAGGTTTAGCGTTAGGTTAAGGGTTAGGTTTAGGGTTAGGTTTGGGGGGGGTTAGGGTAAGGTTTTCGCGTTAATTTTAACTTTATCGCTCACAGCGTGATGTTTTCGTCGCGCTGTGATGACGTCAGGTACGCGCTTTCGTCGAGCATGCTTTAGTCTACCGCGGTTTTGTGGTGGAACCTTATTTGTCACGAATCATATGGTACAACCCTTAATAATAGCCATAGGGTAAAATAAGCAATCAAATCATACTAGGAAACAATCAATATAAATCATAAGGATACAAGCAACAAAGTTACAGTCATACATTCATAAGTGGGAGGAGATAGGTGATAGGAATGATGAGAAGACTAATAGTAATGCAGACTTAGTAAATAGTTTGACAGTGTTGAGGGAATCATTTGTTTAGCAGAGTGATGGTGTTTGGGGAAAAACTGTTCTTGTGTCTAGTTGTCTTGGTGTGCAGCGCTCTATACCGTCGTTTTGAGGGTAGAAGTTGAAATAATTTATGTCCAGGATGTGAGGGGTCTATAAATATTTTCACAGCCCTCTTTTTGACTCGTGCAGTGTACAGGTCCTCAATGGAAGGCAGGTTGGTAGCAATTGTTTTTTCTGCAGTTCTAATTATCCTCTGAAGTCTGTATCTGTCTTGTTGGGTTGCAGAACCAAACCAGTCAGTTATAGAGGTGCAGATGACAGACTCATTTATTCCTCTATAGTCTTATTTATTTCATTTTGCTTTTTAATTTGGATGAGTCAGAGAGAAGCAAGTAACCAAGAATCACTCACTGCGGTCCAGGGTCCAATAGGGCTGCGAACCTGGATGTTCCCAAGCAAAGTCTGGCTCTCTGATATGGCACTGCTGTTTAATGCAACATTATTCTTGCTTGGATGTGCCTGATTCATGCCAGATCTAACTCTATAATGTCCACAAACTGTTTGGTCTCCAAATTCCAGATCTACAAATGTGTCTCAGGACTAAAGTGGGCCGAAGCTACAGTCTTACAATTTGCAAAGCTAACTCAAGTTCTCAAAGCACTCCCCAGTTTAGAAATTTCTTGTAAATTTGAAACCTGGGAAGTGGGTTGGAAAATAGCTATTCTGAGCTTTTGAAGTTCAGATTTTAAAATTTTGAGTGCTTTTGTATTCTTGATGACTAGCCTTGTTCATTGTGGTCTATATTAACAAGTAATCCTTGAATTATGGCCACAGTTGGGATTGAAATTCTATCACAAAGTGATGCAGTTGTTAAGTGAGTCTTTTAGCCCCACTTATTTCATAAGGTTGTTGTGGACAAAATAGGAGAGGAATATTTAAGTACGTTGCTTCCTTGAGTTAGTACAGGGGTCAGCAGCCTGTGGCTCTGGAGCTGCATGCGGCTCTTTCATCCCTCTGCTGTGGCTCCCTGTCGCTGTTCGGCTCCACAATTGATAGTGCTTTCAGTTAGGACAGGTAGAGGAAAAAGGATGCTGCGCTAGGAGGAGACTCTATGGTGGGGGAACCGGATTTCCGGTTGGCTCCAGAATTAAACAGGGGGCTTCTGGTTAGGACGGTGGTGGCTCTTGGAGTGTTTAAAGTTGCCGACCCCTGAGTTAGCTATAAAAAAATAATAAAGACAGGATTAAAAAAATCTAATGTACAAATATTTTGGAGTTCTTTTAACAAGTATGGTTTTTAACATACCACTAAAAATGGTGACCTTCCTTTTTAGATGCTATCCCCAGTGCTGATCAGATCAGAATAACTCCTTCGTTGAAAAGCCAAAGAGGATCCGTATGGACTAAAAACAAATCCATATTTGAATATTGGGAAATTGAAGTGACCTTCCGAGTGACTGGAAGAGGGCGAGTAGGAGCTGATGGATTGGTATGTCATACCAGCTGCAGTTTGCAAACATTGGGTTGGAGGTTAGCAAGCCCGCGTTCGAGACCCAACTGTTGCTGCGTGGCGGGCTGAGCTCTTGTCATTTGCTCCAGCTCCTTGATGGGGGCATGAAAGGAGCCCCCACAAGTTCCTGGTAGTGGGCAATAGTGATGTCACCCACTAATCCTTTCAACCCAGAAGCGCCTTAACTGGTGCCTCCAACATGAAACAAGATAAGAATGGGGTCAGGAATTTGCAAACATGGTGGTTGCATGAATTGGAGGGCCTACAATTTGCTTAGATTTCCATGTGTCTGAACAGGCAATCTGGTATACTGAAGGACAAGGATTGGATGGCCAGGTTTTTGGTGCAGCAGATAACTGGAATGGTGTTGGCATCTTCTTTGACTCCTTTGACAACGATGCAAAGGTGAGTGAGAGGACATTGAGGTTTATGCTGTGGGTTGAACTTCAAATAATTTCTGTGGACCTACTTGATTTTTCAGTCTTCATATCTTTTCCTATCTTTATGCTGATTTTTATTTCCTTCTCTCTCAGAAAAACAACCCTGCGGTGATTGTTGTCGGCAATAATGGCAAACTCCATTATGACCATCAAAAGTAGGTTGAATTTGATCTGATCTATCTTAATTTTCCAGAAGAGGTGTGTGTGTGTGTGTGTGTGTGTGTGTGTGTGTGTGTGTTTTGTCTATTTATTAATTTTTTGCTGAGCGGATAGAACAAATAACTTGCGTTCCAAGTATTGGAAAAATTTGAAAGTTATAAAGTAGAGTGCACAGAACCGTAACTATTAGTACTGCTTCGTTTATCTTTTTTCTTAAGTTATGAACTTCTCACCTCCATAACAGCTCTCAGTGGTGTACAGTAATAAAGCCATTATTAAAAAGTGCAAGTAGAAACGTACAGGTGAGTGGAACAAGGAAGACCATTCTAAAAACGATACATTCTAAAAACAACATAGCACAGGAGGCCGCCTGCATTCTAGAAAGAGTGCAGAGAAGAGCAACAAAGATGATTAGGGGCCTGGAGACTAAAACATATAGAATGGCTTTATTACTGTACACCACTGAGAGCTGTTATGGAGGTGAGAAGTTCATAACTTAAGAAAAAAGATAAACGAAGCAGTACTAATAGTTCTGTGCACTCTACTTTATAACTTTCAAATTTTTCCAATACTTGGAACCCAAGTTATTTGTTCTATCCGCTCAGCAAAAAATTAATAAATAGACAAAACAAACAAACAAACACACACACACACACACACACA